TATATTTCACATGCTTCTGGAATTATCCATAATTTAGTGCCTGGAAGCTTCTCTGGCAATTACCAGTTCCTTGCCTAAAAGAATTTCCCTTGTGTTAACTATTCTCACACATGTGGATGGCACCATGGGTGCTGGTGTTCTTTTTTTCTTCTTACATAGGTTAGTTTTGAATTGAACCCAGAAAAAAATCACTTCCAAATTTCTAGTTGAGGAAACTGAGACCAAGATAAAACGTAAATTGTCCTAAGCCACAAGGGATCACTAGAATTCTTCCACATCCTTTAGTCTTCCATTTCTAGTCAGAAGAATGGCCATTCTAGTTCAAAGCCTCTAAAACATCAGACAGGATCTGCATTCTTGTACTGGGGTAGGCAAGAAAAAGAGGTGATGACTTTGACTTTTGGTGCAGGCCCCTCAACAGCAGGCAGCAACTAGTAAACTCAAATCCATCGCTTTATTGGTCTGCTTTGAGTGGAAATACCATGCTGTACTGTAAACCAGCTCTTGAAATTTGTCCTTCCTGAATCCAACATAAGACCAATCCAATCCTGAATCTTTGGAAAGTTTGTTAAAAAAATGAGATCAGCACTTCATGAGGTATATAAACATCTAGTCACTATGTTGTACACCTGAAACTAATATAATACTGTAGGTCAACTATAATTGAAAAATACATTTTAAAAAATACTAGAAAAATTTAAATGAAAAAAAATGAGATCAAGTTTCTTCTAAGTCCATTTGGGAAAATCTGTCTCATGTAAAGACAAGTGGACCTCCCAAGGATGCCATCCAGAAACAGGGTTGCTGCTAACACTTTGGTCATGACAGGCTCAATTAAAATTTTAGATCAAAGGTTCCCTTGTAGGGAACAAGATATTATTGTTCCCCCTCTTCCGAGTTTGTGATTTCTTCTAGCTGATACTATCATACCTGCAAACTGTTTGGCTTCATAGGGCAGGGAGAGAGAACAGAAGGAAGTTAAATTTCCTATTGAAAATGACAAACATAAACATGTTCCCACTAGCTGTTGTAAATTTAAAATGATGGAGGTCAGAGAGATGTGTTAGAGGAAGTCAAAGAGATCTGAAGTGTGAGAAGGACTTGATGTTGCTTGCAGATGAAGGGGGCTGCATTAATGTAGGAGAAGGGACTGAATTCTGCCCACAACCAGGGAGACTGGATGAGAACACTGAGCCCAAATTGGAACACACCCGGTTAACTATGATCTTTAACCTGGTGAGACCCTGAGCAGAGAGCCCATCCACATCATGCCAAACTTTTGATGTTCAGAAACTGAGGTTAATAAATGTGTTGTTTTAAGCCACTTCAAAATAAAATAAAATAATGCTCAGAGGTCCCGAGTTGGCTCATGCAAGATGCAGGTTCAAATTCTAGCTTTGCCACTAACCCATTGTATGACCTTGTGCTTTGTTACCTAGACCCTAAATCTCATAGCTCATCTGTAAGCTGGAGGAAGGGCATATTAACATCTACTTTCTAGAGTAGTATGAAGAACAAAATGAAATGTGTTTGAAAGTACTTTGCACACCATATAGTATTGTGTAAATGCAAGTTTTTTTACAGTAAACTAAAATCGTTGTGTTAATAAGAATTCTGTGGGCCGGCCAAGTGGCGCGATGGTTAAGAACTCGCTTGGGATGCCAGAGGGCCCCGGTTCGGATCCCACATATGAGGGCCAGTGACACTGCCCTCCACAGCTAAGATGCTGAACAACAGCTCAACCTGGAGCTGGGCTGCCATGAGTCGCCGGCGACGGCGTGGGCTGCAGTCCCTGTGGCAGTGGATTGCCATGGGCTACCGTGTGTGGCCAGCAGCCAGCGTGAGCGGCCAGCAGCCAGCGTGAGCGGCCAGCAGCCGCAGTGAGCGACCGTCCAGAAGCCGGCGACTGATCTGCCTCGCCAGAGAAGAGCGCAATGATGGTGCCAACTTGCGCCAGTGAAGCAACGTCCTCCACAACTAGACTGAAGAACAAAACGACAGCAACTTGTCTGTTCCCCTTTCCCCAATTCCCCAGCACTGTTCCCATCCCCCCAATTTCCCAATAAAAATCTTTAAAAAAAATAAAATAAAATAAGAATTCTGTATTTTCTCTCCATATAGCCTCCATTTTAATTGAGAACAAAATTAGCTAAATGTTTATTTGTGAAATGTGTCTTTGTGAAAAAGCAACATAATGACATGTTTTAAATCTAAAAAGACAATATATTTATTGAGGAGGTCATTTGTCCCTCAATGCACTTTTACAAGTTTGAAAAGTGCATTGCCCCCGTCTTCTCCTTTGGGGTCAGTGTCTGGCTGAAAACTTGTTACCCATACTCACAGCCATAGTACTCACAGTATAATGTACTACAGGACTGCAATGGCTCCCCATCCTCTCGCCTGCTAACCAACACTTAGAAGCACTTTGACATTCATGATCTCATCCACTCCTCCTAAGCCTGAGCTAAGACAGATGAAACGATGTTGTGTGATAAATAGCTGGCCCTGGACCACACCACCAGTCAAGAGCAAAGTCAGGCTGCAAACTGAAGTCATCTTATTGAAAGCTGGGTGTCTGTCCCTCCATCCCCCACTGCCTGAATTGACAGAGGGTAGAGAAAGCAGAGGACGCTGGCTGCTTGTTCTGTGCCCATGGTGACACAAGATTTGCCAACCCTCCCCCAACACTCCGTTCATGTGCCCTTGTGGTGCCAAAGTCCCAGGGCCAGGCTGGAATTTGGGACACACCATGGATGGTGGTGTGTGGATTTCTGGACTTGTTTGCTTTGAGTTAAACAAATTGGCTTGGCTTTCAAAATTAAGTCCAGGCTGATCAATGATCAGAAGTCTCGCAACTCACCTCAAGAAGACCTTCATGTTCATGTTATGTGACTGTTTGCAATAGCATTAATGTTAACCATCCATCCAATGCTCAAAAAAAAAAAATATATATATATATATATATATATATATATATATATATATATATATACCCCTCAAATCATGCCAGGTCATTAGGAAATACCAGATAAAATGGCTAACATTAGACTTAATTTCCTTCTCATCAACGGCCTAAATTCTAGTTTTAAAATACAAAAAAAAACCTGATAAAATTGTACTGACAAATTGAAAAACATAAAGGCAGAAAATGGGATTCAAAACACAACTTCTTTATACACATCAGAAATTCATCCAGTAAGTTAATTATTTAGAGCCTCGTTTTTTGTTTTTGAAACTGCCAGTCAGTTGATTTATTTAATGATAGGCCACAAATACACACTGGAGTACAAGCTAGTAATGTTAATAGGAAAGTATTTGGATCTAAGTTAACCATCACTTTCAGTCTTGATTGTAAACATTAAAAGGAACCTCTGAGAATGTACTCTATATTTGTGTGGAAGAGGCAAACATTTTGGCATTTGAAGTAAGTATAATTCTTGGTCCAACATTAGCAAGTCGGATACATACCACCTAGTTATTTAATGAGTCACCTTCCATCCCCTGCCCTTCTCCTCCTGTTGGACCTCAAGGAGTGACTGGGTTTGATCTCAGGGAACGTCCATCTGCCCTAGGCCTGCTGCCAGACACACCAAAACAGAGTTAAAATGATTATTTGAAATAATAAGTTATTCTCTTGCATCTACCTCCACTGATGCAAATAATTGAGAGGGGAGTACCTTCTTTTGGGACTCACATATATGGGAGTAAAGGCTCAGAATTAGTAATGAATGAAAGGGCATTAGAGTCCTTTCAAGGAATCTGGCATTCTTTTTCTGGCTGCCACGCATCATAGTATGACCCCTGGCAAGACATCAACACAAAACCATTGCTTTTTCTATGAAATGGATCTGCTCCATTTATCTCATAGGATTGTTCTCAAAATTGTTTGTAAAGTATATGCTAAACCTCATTTATAACAGCTGTAAAAAAATCAAAAAGTATATGTATACATATATAAACATAATTGCTGTTACTTGAAGAAATTAATTTCTTTCTCATAATGTAGAGTTGGATAGTATCTTTAAAGTCTAAAAAACCCTAGATTTATTACCTAACAAATGGAAATAATTGAATTACAGAAAAACCTAATTACAATTCTCCCCCAAATTCACTAGATTCATAATTTACATTGCAATGAGTCTGCTGATTAGGCATTGATTAAAATCACTGCTGTATAAAATGGTTCATTCTATAAGTCTTTGGGAATGCAAATTCAAGTTTAGCAAACAATAAGCACACTTTAAAAATGAGATAATGTTGACATGCTAGGAGACAAGCAAATTAATAAACCATAGCCAAAAATGTTTTAAAATGATCTTATTGATGTCCTCAAAACTGAATTAGAAAATGAAATTTCAATTTATAAGTCAATTACAAACCTCTGAAGTCAGGTATCATACTAGAAGCATTTAATATTCAATAAAAAGGCATCAACACCAGTATATGAATGTGAGCTTTCGGTTTTGCAGAAACACAAGTTCTAGTTGTTAAGGAACTTCTGGCACTCAACTTCAGGGGAGTCCTGCCTTGAATACTAATCAAATGGAAATGATCTTAAGTTAACTCTCTAATGTAAATCCTTTTTTAAAATATCGTAACAAGAAAACACACTCCTCTAATAAACTTTTGGAAGGTTAGAACTGACCTTAGAGAGCATATAGTCCAACTCTTATTTTACAGAACTCATGACTTTGATGCCTGGCAGTATTTTTTACTGGAATGATCAAAGACCTAAATTATTGGTTATGTCTCTGGATAAGGATCAATGCCTGTGCACTGGCAGTGTGGAATAGCACACCTACAACAAGAAAGCCTGCAACAAGTAAAAGCATCACACTTACTCCATTTCTTTTAAGAAACAAGGTAACATAAGTTACTTCCATCAGTGGTATTACAGGTTCTGGTATTTTTTGTCAATTCTGAGCCTAGAATTTTATAGTGGACTAGATGATAAAATTGAATGTGTCTGGAAACAAGCAGCACAACAAAAGTTAACACAGTTGATTTCCTGCTCCACATTTATTGGGACAAGAAAGACTAAAACAGCTATTTTCCTCTCAAATAATTGAAAAACCATGACAGTAATTTCTTAAATACATAACAAAACTTTTCAGATCACAAATCAACACGAGATGTAATAGCCTATAGATATCAATCAGGACAGCTTTATAAAATGTCATTCATCTAAGGCATTCTGAAGTTGTCTTTAAAGCTACACATATATACAGGATTCTACAAACATAAAGGCATCCATTCATGAACAGAAAGTCTTTGAGAAACACTGTGTAAGGAAGGCGAAAGTAATACATCTTTAGATTCTGAATAATTTTTAAGAGACACTTTGGGGTTCCAAGAAACAGTGATTTATACTCAAATAAGCATGTCGATTTTCAGACCTGGATAGGTAAGATTTTTGTTATACAGGCTACAAGAAAATTCACTGTGAATTATTCATTTTTCAAAGGCCTCCTTCAAAGGAGAGATTTCAAGTCCAGAGCAAACATCCACGGCATGAACAAACAGGATGCCTAAGATTCTAAAATGTGCTCCCGTATGGCTTTCCTCATCACCTCCCTACCTAAGAACAGGAGAAAAATTCCTAGAAGGAGCAACAGCTAGATGTTGTGCCATTACATCCAGTAGTGTTTCTAGATGGTGGGTTATTACAATTTTGGTGAAGGACTTTTTATTTCTATTTCAAATGGACTGTACCACTCCAAACACAAAAAGGTTTTGCCACACATCCAAACATTATCATATAGATCCAGATTTCTTCCTAGTACAGAACAAGAATCATTAGGAAAGGAGAAAGCCCACAAACAGAGGGAGGAAACAAGGTTAAAGTCTTTCACTGGCCAGTTATCCAAAATGGCAACATCAGTCTGTTATCAAAGTTGTCAGCTCTCTCCTTTTAAAAACAAAATCTCTAGATCCGCTTACGTCTTACCCTTTGATGTACCAGAGATATATTTAGGTTTTACCTACCAACCTGTCTGTCCCTGTTGATTCTGACAATCTTACACAGGCCAATTCATTCAGCCATTTAAGGAAGAAGTCACCATTTTCCAGGTACTCTTCAACACTTAAAACCTTAAATCCAGTTATTTCAAATCTGTGTGACCAACAGCCCCACTCCTTATCCTCCCCAACAAAAAGTAGCTAATTCTGTTATAGTATCTCTGACAAATCCCTTCAGTTTTGCTGAGGAAATGACATAGATGTTTTCTTCCACTTTTACTCCAAATTGTGGAGGTCCACTTCTGATAACATCCTTTTAGGTTACTTAAAATCAGGCCCTGTTTAAAGATTCTTTGTGGAGCTTGGAGAATTTACTAATCAAGGAGTACATTGCCACGACTGACATTCTTGATACAAAAAAATCAATTGCAGTTGAGTTCCTGTGATCCCCTGAGCAGTTATAAATGCCCTTTACTATAATGAGGCAGTGTAAGACAAAGCAAATAATTCAAATATATGTACATTTATATTTATACTAATATGAAACACATTGATAGAAGAGAGTATTGATTTTTTTCCTGAAGTGTTTAGTGTTTCAAAGAAAAATAAAGACACTTAATATTGAGAAATTTCTAATAAATGATTAAAAATGCTTTTGGTTGGCTGCCATTCAAAAGTTTTCCCAGAGTTCTCATCAATGTGCTATACAAACTGTAAATAAAAATATACATGACCAAAAGTACTATACATATATCAGACATCAATATGTACATGTGAATTAAAGTTCCTTAAATATACACATCCCCACTTAGAATACATTCCATTACATATGCGTAAGCAAAGCATCATTCTTTACTAATAGGTCCAGGATAGCAGCAATTTAATCATCTAGTTATCCAGTTACCTCAGAAAATGTCACAGGTCCTGATAGTTCCTGATGTGGTATCCCTGGGCTCCAGGAGAGTTCTCCATTAACATTTAATACAGTTCTCATGAGGCACCAAGTTACAGTGCTAATGGCAATGATATCATCCTGTCATTGGAGAAAAAGTTATTGACTTTTCAAAACCCATTTATTCAAAATCTGACTAAGGGTATAATGGGAAAAATAAGTCACAATGAAGTGATACAAATCCAAACTATTGAAGACTATAAGGCTTTAACATTTTATTTCTTACATCTTTGTGTGGTTTTATCAGTGCCTTGTACATAGTATTCAGATTGCCCTAACAGATGCTGAACTCTGCTGAGAAGACAGCTGCTATGAATTGTTTCTGAAAACGCTCAGTTTTACAAACCGAGACGGCATGATGTCGTGCTAAGCGTTGTTTTAAAAGAGTTATGTCTGCGAGTCTATACCTTTTGGTAAGTTAAGAACTTGCAACCAAAATTTACATATATAATATGCAAAAAAAATCTCAGGTTGATTTAAAATAAACCGTATTAGTCACAGAAGGAAATATATGAGTAGGATGTCTTTTACATACACATTTATTTTGTGTGTACTATTGTGTGTAACGATACACAATATTACGTTGTGTGTATAGCCATGCATGCTCAATGGATAGAAATTCTAGGTAGGCAGCAAGTTATATGGATTCTAAATGTTGATGTGGAGTTTAACATTCACTCTTGGTGTGTTTTTAAGGTCCAATTCTAAACCTACTGGATGTATGAACACAGAGCTCAAGAAAAGTCCCTGTTATCTCTGATGAAGGTTTTGAACCTCTGCCACTCCACCCATATACTTCATGTAAAACAAGCTTGTTGACTGCAGCTACTGGCTGCAAGAGAAGAGTTTATCACCTTAAACAAGTTATACTTGCCAAGGGAGTGAGACTAAATTAGACCATATTGTTTTACATGCTGAAACCTTTTTACTGGGAGGGGACAACTCCCTCTGCACAGCAGTTTCTCCTGCTTGAAGCTGAGATCACACAAGGAGAAACCTATTGTGTTTCTGCCAAGTCACTGTGGGAATGTTGGGAAAGCGAACCCAGTAGCCAGCAGAGGCAGAACCACAATATCGACTTCTAAGATAAACAGCCGGCTTTATCGCACTTTGGAGAACTTTCCCTGAAACAATTTTATCCATCGGTTCCCCCCCGCCCCACCATGTTTCCCATGGTGGTCAAATCAACACAGAGCAGACTCTGGCTTCTCAGTTATCATGTGTGTTGCCAACCATGACAACACCTTTATTTTACTGAATGTTTACTCAGGCTCCTTGAATATGGCTGGAAGTTGAACCGTCCAGTGAGATCCTTCAGATGATAAAATGATGATGTGTTAGTCTCTCCCCAGGAACCTGAAGCTTCTGACATGCTCCGCAGGCATAGCCTGGGTTGCAGAACCCGATTCTCTTTACACAGGAACACACACACCACTACTTGGCCTTTTCTGATGTCACAGGCGGGCAGGCAAGTTCAAAGTCTGGACACAGAGGCACTTCCAAAATTTGGCAAGAAGGAGGAGAATTCACTAAGTGGGGCTTGATCACTGTGCTGTCTCGTATGTATAAGACATCTCTGGCACACGGATATAAACAGAGGTCTTTAGGTTGTAGATGGGTCATGCTTTTTCTTCTTGCCCCTACAGGACTTGCAGACACAACAGATTATGCACGGGGAAGCCAGGAGCAGCAAGGGAGAAGTCACCAAGGCAATGATGCCAAGCCCCACAAGAATCCCGACCACCTGGAAATTTAGAAAAAACAACAACAAAAAACCTATTTCAGCAGTTACATCTCCCTATATGTATACTATACCATCAGTTATATAGTCTGAAGGCTGTGTCCCCTCAAAGTTCATGGAACCCAAATCCCTAATATGATGATGTTTGCAAATGGGGGCCTTCCAAAGGTAATTAGGCCATGAGGGTGAAGCCCTCATGAAAGGATTAGTGCCCTTATAAGAGAGACACCAGAGAGCTTGCTTCCTCTCTGTCCACCCTCTGCCATGTGAGCACACAGTGAGAAGATGGCCGTCTGCAAACCAGGGAGAGTCCTCACCAGAACGCAGCCCTGCTGGCACCCTGATCTCGAACTTGCAGTCTCTCAAACTTGCAGTCTCCAGAACCGTGAGAAATCAATTTCTGTTGTTGAAGCCACCCAGTCTATGGTAATTTGTTATCACACCCTGAAGTGACTAAGACACCATCTCAGGCACATAAAACAGTTACAATTATGAGACATTTTAGCCAGTGCCCAGCCATGGTCTGAACTGAATAAACCAGGAAGATACCAAAGATTAAATCAAAGATGAAAATAACAAACCAAATGCTAACTCAGGCTCTGGCACGAGCTCAGTATAATCATGAAATGTTGGTGTTGGCTCTCTCTCTACCTGAGTTTCCTCAACAGTCTCATAGGGATGTTAATAATGATTACTAGGCTATTAACACCGACTCCTTCAAAAGGAACAGGGCCTTTAATAAATATGAAACGCTATTAAAAACAAACCAGGACTCCTTTTGAACCTGTCACATAAACACACAATGGCATGTACAGAGGGATCTAAGCCCCAGCAGGGGCTCATCGTGTTTTTAAGCATGGCCTTTCATAGTAAATGTGCCTTAAAGGGCTTTAGGAAAGTTATCCTACCATTTTTATTTTTTCAGGAAGAACATCTGCCTTCATTCTGCAGGTCACTGTTAATTACTTGGCTGCTCTGGTGCCCTGTCCCTCCACTTCTCCTCGGGTATTGTGCTCATGAGTTAAGTTCTGGCAGTTCCTACATTAATTTTCCCTAACCTTGCCCCAGGACCCCTCGGAACCTCCTAGGCTAGAATGGGTGAGCAGGAGTAAAGTGGGGAGGATTACTAGGCAGGCTTCTAAAGCCATCTTAAGTCTGGTGTATTTCATGCTCCTTGTAAGATCAGGGTACCTGTGTTCGGTTCCACATCACTGAGGCTCTCGAGTGGCCAAGCTTATTCCTGCATGGCCCTTTGTCATAATGTCTGAGGAAAATGTCATTCTGAAAAACAAAGAGAGAGGTTTCAGTAAAAATGCAATTTTGAATTGCGAGATGGGTAGTAACCACATCCGATCACCTCAGGGAAAGCAAGGTTCTTTCTGGTGATATTAACGTGGGCCTCTAGGAATTCCAAGCCCATCATCTTCAGACTACATCTCAGTAGTTTTATAAATCCCCAGTGAAAACAGATCTAATCAGTGAGACTGCTGAATGAGTCTAAAACAGATCAATGACCTGACCAATTATCTCTGAAAGGTAGCTCTATCAGAGGTGCGATATGGAGTGTGAAGACTGTGAGCTAGACAGCTAAAAGGTGGTGTAAAAAGTCAACAAGGTGATAAAATGCCAGTGGCTGAGAAGGAGAAGAGGAAAATGCAGTCATAACATTAAGAAGGTAACTCCCTAGGTGGGGAAAGAGTGAGAAGAAATCACAGATGAGGGGAAAGTCACTGGGTAGAAGGAAGTGTTTTTGTTGAGATGGAGATCCATAGAGATGGATTTTGTTGAGGTGATGAACACAGTTTGGACATGCTCTACTTGGGAGACACTTGAGACATTTGCATAGTGCTGTTCAAAAGGCAGCTGGTTACATAGACATGGAGAAAAGACTTGGGAATCAGTGTACATGGGGTGGAAGAAAACAGAGAAGAAGATGAGATCACCCAGGGAGAGTGTGGACTGAGGAGCAAAGAGGCTGCTGAACACAAATATGTATAAATGGGTCAAGGAAGAGCCTGGAAAGAAAATTGAAGTAGCCGAAAATACAGAAGGGAAACCTGAAGACATGGAACACTGAAACGGAAGTGGTCAAGATGTCAAAGGTAGCAGAGAATCTAGGTAAAAGGATGACTGAAGTGTCCCTTGGATTTTACCCAAAAGAAATCACTCAAAGCCTTGGAAGAATACAGTCAGGACATGATGAGGTGGCAATCTGAGCACACAGCAATGACTGGAGCTAAGTAAGTGTCCACAGCTCTAGGTGATTATGCTTTGTTGAGCTGCTAAAGGAACAAGAGAAATAGAATGGCAGTAAGGGAAGATGTAGGCTTGAGAAAAGTGTTACTTGTTTTTAAATGGGATACAGTTGAATGCATGGGTAAGTTAGAGACTAGAGAGTGGAGAGTAGAAGTTGAAGTCATGGGAGACAGAAGAGATAACTGAAGGCAACAAGTCGCCATGGTTCCCAAAGCAAAAGATTAAAAATACCTCATCTTCTGAAACAGCAGGGAAGAGGAGCAAGGCAGGAACACACTCAAATCCTCAGCAAAACTCAAAATCACTCTGTTTGGTGTCTGTCTCAGGCTTGGCTTTTGGACAATCACCCTTCTCCTAGACCCATGCTCTAAAACTTTCCTATAAACAAAGATCAATACCACCATCTGACATAGAACACGTTTCTACAGAAAGAACAAGCCAATGCCCCTGGCTAAAACCAAGAAAATGAGATCTCAGAAAACAATGACCAGAAAAAGATGCTGTGTATCCAGGCACTTAACATCTGTACCATTTCATCTCAAGTCCCAGAACAGTACAAGTGACAGAACAGTGTGTTCTTTGCAACACCATACCATAAACACATTTCAGCCAGATGATGGAGAGATCTGGTGCACATATTTGTTCCCTTACACTCTTGCTTCCTAAGGAGAACCTCATGGGCTCAGCCTCCTTGTGGATCTGAACCCAATTAATATTCTGGTTAAACCTGAAGGAAAACAAAAAAAGATTTCTTGCATTTGTAAAGCATGATGGGTGTACAATCAGTCAACTCCTCTTTCAGAAGATCATTCATTTGAAATTATGAGAGGTCTCGAATATCAAAATCATTGTAATTCAAGGGATCATAACAATTTTTTAAAAAGAATGAAAACACTTCTTTCAACCTAAGCTGCTGAGCTTCTAGAGTCTAAAGTGTCAATTTTCTTCTCCCCAATTTAGACCTCTTCTTGAACACTGACATCAAGCTGATTAAGGTTCTTACTCACAGATGTCATCCTAAACAACTTATTGAATTTTCAGTTAAAAATCAGGCAGGTGGTGGCCAGCATGCATTCTGTGTTAACTACACACTCACTCGCCGAGTGGTTATGATACTAAAGCACTACATGAATTGCTTATTGAATTGAAGCAAACTAAGCAATTAAAATGGAAAGTTGAGAAAAGAAAGACCACCCAACAATGACTGAGGGCTTACACTAATATGAACATATTTTATAGATTCAAATTGCCAAAATAGGGAATATCTATAAACAACTTAGGCTACCCCAAGCTTTAAAACACTATAATTGAAAACAGTAGAATTCTCAACAATCCTTCACACCACCTTTTAACTCTGAGGTCACCATTAGCCTTAGCACAGGACTGAATGAAACTACACCTGAATTTGAGAAGACACGCTTCATGAGTGGTGTAGGAAAAGAACAATTCGACCAGATCCCTTTATCTGGGAAGGAAGCCCTAAAAACAGTAGTAATACCACTGTCACGCCAGTGAACGAGATAGTAAAATAATAAGACATGCCATTGATTTAAATTTTTTCTTTAAATTCAAAAAGAAACAACCAGCTGTGGTAGGCAGAATACTTGTTCCCCTAAAGATGCCCATGGCCTTATTTCCCAGAACTTGTGAACATGTTAACTTATGTGGCAAAGGGATTTTGCAGGTGTGATTAAATTAAGACCTTGAGATGGGGGAGATTATCCTGTTTTATACAGATGGGCCCAATCTAATCACATGGGTCCTTCCCCAGCTGTGGTCAGTGGGGATGACTGGAAGCTCTGACTATAGAAGAAGGAACAGAGAGATGTAATGTTGCTGCCTTTGAAGAAGGAGAAAGGAGCCACAAGTCAAGGAATGCCAGCAGCCTCTAGAAGCTGAAAAAGGCTAAGAAATGTAATCTCCCTTAGAGCCCAACCCCCAAAAAATACAGCCCTAAGGACACCTTGATTTTAATCCAGTGACACCCATGTCACATTTCTAATGTACAGAAGTAAAGATAATAAATCTGTGCTATTTTAACACAAAATTCTGTGGTAATTTGTTACAATGGCAACATAAATCTAATACACTAACAGTCTTTTACATAATAGAATGAAAATGCCCCCAAAAGCAGGAAATGTCCCTAAAACAAAAGCTTGCCTTTAAAGCTAAGGTGACATACCTAAGGTCATCAAAGAGTTTTACAGACATCTGAAGTAGCAGGCTCAGGAAGTCTCATTAAGCAAAATAAATTCTTCGGCACGACAAGAATAGATAGGTTCAATATTTTAAAAGGAAAGCCTGTAGGACACTGGCTGTCACACAGGTACAGTATGGAGAAAGACCATTCGAGAAGAGCCTTCCGCGTGGAACTTACGTCCAGGTTCTGGAGACAGTACCAGCAGAAGGTGTGCTTGCAGTTCTTGCACATCATCTGAGCACAGCCTTCGTTGCGTTCGATGTAAACCCGGCAGACTGGGCACTGCTTAATGGGGGCGTCTGCATCTGTCCCAAAGAGGGAGCTAGAAGCAAAGTGGATGAGAAATTACAGGGTGGGTATGGAGAAGAATGCTTGATTTTTTTTAATTATTATTATTTTTTTAATGCTAGGACCACAAGGGTGGACACTAACCAGAGCTGTGAGAAGAGAGGGCTGGATATAATTAATTAGGTTAAATAATGCCCTTCTAGACTCAACTTTATGGTCATCAATGGAATTCCTAGAGCTCCTGATGTGTAGATAGTGAACTCTTCCTTATCTGTGCTTAATTCAACCTCGGGGAAAAGGGTAGGGGTAAAAATAGGAGAGGCAGAGATTATTAGCTGTTCAGATAAGTCAAAACAAAACAGACCTTAATTTATTTATCTTTGGCTTTGAGTGAATGATATAATCATATTTTGCACAGCTGATTTAATTCATTGTTTTGCCAAATTATTATTTATTCCCTGAGCACACACTGTCTGAATTAAAAGCTCAAGAAGTCCGCTACACAGCAGAAAAACTAGCTCAGGATCTAAGAGGGCACAGGTAACCAAATGGAGGAGGTAGGGGGGAGTGAATAACTGATACTTTAAACGCCCAATGTCATTAAAAACACCTGCTCCAAACAGACAGCTAGGCCACCACAAAGTCACAGCCTAGAAGGGCATAGAAAATAAGGGAGGGAGGCTGGGTGAGCCAGAGTGCTGGGGTGCACCTTAGCTACTGTTCATCAAAAACACCACCCAACACAGAGACATCAAGTTCGCAAAGTGTTGTCAAAACTACAATCAAATTTGGTATTCTCAATAACCTTATGTAGTAGTGGGGCAGTTACTGTTTTAATCCCCCCCCTCCTTTTTTTTTTTTCTCAAATAGAGAAACAGCCTCTTATAGGCTGAGTGACTTGCATAAGGTCACACCAATGCCAAGTGACAATGTCAGACCTCAGTCCTTCTCCCTCAGGGATCTTTACATTGTCCTGTGATGCCCAGGGACCTTACTGTGGTGGCAGTGAAAATGTAGGCAGTACTGGCTGAGATGGCACATGCCCGCCATGTCTGTTGGATCACTTTTATCTCTTGATTTGTAGGGTCTGAGATGCAAGCACAGTATCATAGCCAGGTAGCATGACTGTTCCTGAAGAATGGTTCTACACAGTCTGAGGGCGTTGGGTGACTAAGCCAACTGCTATAACACTGGTCTTTCTGTTCTTGCTGATGCAGAACAGCCATAGCCTCAAGCAAAGCAAGGGATCAAACACAAAGGTCTCTCACTCTGGGCCCTGCTGCTGCCATAAAAACCCTCTCTACTGAAAGGTACAGATTTAATTGCTTCTAATCATAACAAACTCTCAATCTTGGCACCATCTTTTCAGAGCATAAAGTACTGGGAGATATGCTCTTTTCTTCTAGTACCTATGAATTTTGCACTGTACTACACTGAAGGGCTGCTGTTCCTATTGCTGTATTCTCTGATATGATTGGCACACCTCATGAGCTGGCAATTTAGTTAGGTAAGAAAATAATTTCTGTATCATTTTGCAATTAGGAAGAACAAGATATGTCAATAGTAGGTGGGTATAGTACCCAAGCAAATGACTGTGGACAAGCCATGACTTCCTACTGAGCACCAGTGGGCTGTGTGCCTGTTTACCTAAAGAGAAATAAAACTCATACAACCTCTGACTTCAGCAGGATCAGGAAGATTCTCCAGGGTAAATAACTAAAATCCCCTTAGAAATGCTTTTTTTCTCAACAACTTACCAATCCTGAGACACTTCTCAGGAAAGCTCTGCAGGGAAATAACAAACTTTAAATTCCATCTTTAGATAACTCCTCTGAGCCATACACCTGAGGTTTCTGAGAAAACTAGTGAATAATTCCAAAGACCGAGTTTCCTTTCTTACCCATGCTCTGTTGGCAGGACAGCGGGCTGACTATCTCTACAGGAGACATCTGCATGCCAAGCATCCTTGCAACATGAGCAGAACTTCAGGTGGCAAGAAGGGCACTCCACCAGCACCGGCTGTCCTGGGTCACCTGAGGCAACATGGCACACTGTCTGACAGTCTGCGACGGGACACCACGTTCGGTAGGGGTCCAGGTGAACTTCTGAAGCATAAAGAAAAAATGTGATGGTCTATTTATTCTCTTTCATAGGCTAAGATTTATGGAGGCTTAGTACAACCAAGGGTGGTGATTTCTTCCTGGTGATCCACACCTGCAAGGTCACTCAGCCCTGCCACGTTTCTCAGAGTAGATACTCATGGACGAGGCTACCATTGCCCTTATGAACACATAAGCGATGTTTTCATTAACCCAAATTTACAATTCTTTTGGAATATGTCTCATCTTTCAGCACTCAAAATATGCAAAAATCTCAAGTCCCTTCTACAAGTATTTTGGGTACTGTTTTGGAAGAAAATTGAACATGAAGAATTTACCAAACCAAAAGAAAAAAATCACAAGAGATATTGTCCTTTCAGGCACTGAGAAATAAACAGTGAGGTTTCTTCTGTTGTTTAGAGGGAAATTAAAGAAGAAGGAAGAATCAAATAGTTTAGGGACCAAATAGTGTCAATGTGGCTTAGCCAAAAAGTCAGATTAGCTGTCAATTTGGATATTCTGCTGCCCTGCCAATATACTATTTAAAGACAACTTGTAAAAAACCCACATGCTCTAAAGATAGAAGGTAGAGACTTTCATAGAACATAAAATGATGGTTTAGTCATATACCTCATCCACTAATCCATGTGCAATGGAGGAAAGAGATAGGGTTGGGGAATGGATGACTATATTTCTATTCAAATGTTTACAAATCTTTTTCAATTTTCCAGTTTCTATTCAATAACAGACCTTGTGTTCTTATCATATAATATGACCTTTAAGGGAACATATCACCTGAAAAATAACGTTACTTGAGGGGTAAAGTAGCCCCTTTTTCTCTGAACCAATGTATTTTGCAAATTTTGAACTGATGAGATTATTGTTTTGAATCTCCTAAGGCTTGTGATTCTTGGAAACTTCTACACAGGAGGTAAAGAAACCCTAAGGCTGGTGCAAAAACAAACTGAAGGTATTACTTATGAGCTTAGTTTTTAAAGGTAATAATTTTACAAATTCAAAATGAGGGGGGAAAAGTCAGAAACGTTCCAGTAAACACTCTCCTTTAATATCTCACCTAGAAAATGCAACAATCGGATCTATGCTAATTATACATTTTCACTCAAAAATAGCATCCTTAAATATATTTTCTTATCTAATAGTATGGGAGGTGGGGGCAGGGGCTAGAGAATGATGGGCCAAATATAATAAAAAAAAGGAAACCTATGATTCACAGATCTTCAGACCCCCAAGAGAGATGAACCATCTCAGATCCCTCAAACTTTAGGACAGGCTGATTAGAAGGTCAAAGGGATAGAGACATACATATGCTCCAAGGTCTTAACCTTTGATTTCCAAGCCATTTACATTTTCATCCAAACTTGTACAACTGTTTCACAAATACTAAGCCCAAAGAAATGAAGGATGGTATATAACTTGGAGCTAAAGCCTCCATATCAAATATCTACTTACCATCCATTCTAAAACACAGGTCTTTAAAAGTTTGATAATAAAGGTAAGCGTATAGGTTAGAACCATGAATAAGCAGACAATCAAAAGCTTTCCAGCTTTTATCCAAATAATGCAAATAAAGAGATTTACACATGTAATAAAGCAGTCCAATTTTACAAGGAACTAAGTGAGCAGAGGGGAGAGTCATAGGAGATAATTTGGGAATATTAGTCAAAGGCCTGGTCACAAACTACTATGATGAGGCCTAAATGTGATGAGAAGCCATTGAAGGGGAGGGCCCTTTTGATCAGGGGAGTGCCACGATATGATTCCCATTTTCAGAAGATGGCTACTGTAGGAAGAACAGACATTAACGGAACAAAGTGGCAGCAGAGAGGTCAATTAGGAGGTTATTGCAGTGATCTCATCCAACATGATACACTGGATTACATGTTAGAAGTGGAAGTACTGAAAATTGGGAGTATATTCTGAAGGTGAAACTGTCAAGATTTCCTAAGTAGAGATGCAGTTAGATGCAGTCATCCCAGTTGACAACCAACGACCTAGAATGATACCTGGAACATAGTATTCATTGAGTCAATGATTGAAGCGACATAACAGATGTGTAAGAAATATCTGTAGGTCAATTCCCTACAGTAATAAAAGATAAGGAAAGCATAAATGGCAAAGTTCTATATTGTTAAGCCCTGCATTCAGAAACTTCTGGAAAACAGGAACAAACTACTGGAGAGTTTTTTATATAGAACATCTTGAATCATCCAAGAGAGCTTCCCCCAATGGAGCAAGAATCCAGACATACAAGTCTGGCCGGGTTACGCTAAAAGACATGTGTTCTTCATCTTTCCCTTTAGCCCTGCTTCTAGAAGAAGAGCTACAAGTAAAGGTCAACAGAAGCTAAAAGAGTTGTTTTATTTATTTTTTAATTATTATAATTCTAATATGCCATTAAGAGCACAATTAAAAACAGTGTACCACAAGTGGAGCCTACAGGCCAGATTAGTAGAAAGGGAGAAAACACCAAAGGGGCATCAGTCCTGGCAACATAACAGGAATTCACAAAAGCCAAGCCAAAAGGGGACAGATTGATGGAGACCAGGTGGGCGCCAAATCGCTGAACATGAGCAAGAGCTATCTTCTCCCCACTCTTTTCTCCACACCAACAAAAGGAGACTGGGGGAAGGGGAGCCCCACAGGGTTAATGGGAGATTTTTAATATACTTTTTATTGCTATTATGGTGAGCTGAATTCTACCTCCTGGCTTTTGGCCTAGGAAACACAGTAATTATGGAGATAAACAAAATGCACACGTATCCAAAACATTTAAGGTTTAGTTTCTTCCCCCTTCAAATTTCTTTTCCAAAGTTGGAAGAAATTGAACTGATGCATATTCAACTAATTTCTCCTGCATTGACAGTGGTGGAAGCTTCATATCACATTGAGATGGGAAAAGTTGAGAAATCTAGAAAAAAGAAAAACTAGGGGTTTGTGTAAATCAGCCCCCAAACTACAGTGCTCCAACACTTTAATATGAACATGACTTAAAGTGATTAATTATAAATACTTACATCAGAGATAGACAAATTCTCAGACTTATACTGGAATTTACTTATGAAAATTAGAATTGATTACTGAAGTAAAGTCCCATGACTATTTGATCTTAAGACTGCTTGTTCATGTAACTTTCGCAAGGCAGGAAATATTATTTAAAACTATTTCCTACTTCTGTATTCTGACAATTATTGGGAAGTAGAAACATCCTAAGAAAATAAAACTGCCATGAGACCTAAAGACCATGTCTGATGCCAATGACTGTTTTATTTGTAAAAACTCAACTCAAGACCATTGGTTTTCCCACCTGGAACTATCAGTATCAGATATGTGGAGTTTGTTATTCTGTAGTGTATTCTTTCCACTCACATGAGTGGTTCTTCTGCCATCTTCTACCATTGTGAAGCTATGCCAAAAAAGACATCACATGAATTTTTATTATTGTGGGAAACACCAGGCATCCAAGCTAATTTAATCATCAGCTGAAACAAATCAAACTGTTTTAACTTTTATGAACCATTGCATTTTTAATTATGCCAAAGTTAATTTGCTTTCTGGCATCTCAAAGAACAAGGATCTTCTGCAGATAGTTAAAACGCAATTAAGCTAAAGTGATCAGAATTAACATCTGCTACAGTATATATCCTCAAACAGAGGTGGCCATTGGCAGAGGAGTTGCTCTCAAGATAGTTGAAGAGAACTATGGAATTTCAAACGTGGAAACAACTTCTGAGGTTATCTAGCCTAATACTGCTATATTAGTAGCCATAGAAGTTAGGAGTTTGCATAATGGGGTTAATGAGTATATGATGGGATCAGGCCTTTTTTACTCCTAGAATACCATTCTCTATATAAAAGTATAATCATGGTATTAAATAGATTTTAATTTCCACTATTACGATGGAAACTTTTTTTTCTTCAAAGCAGCAACTTTGAATGTTCCATCTCAGCAAGTCATGATCTCCTTGGAGGTGGTCAGAGAAAGTGGATTCATGCTAATAGTGAGAGTATATTGAAGGAAGGAAACAGATATGATAGGCGGTATAAGGAATTTGCATTGATTATCAAATTTCTATACAACTCTCTAAAATCTAGGATAACAAGGATGGAACCATGCTCCCCAGAAAACTGGGGAAAAGATTTAGTGGTGGTAATGATGAATAACAACAACAGTAACAATAATGGCACTGGTAATTTACAGAATGTGCATTGTGACAGACACACTGTATTAACTAATGTATTCTCTTACAGGAGCCCTAGGATAACCATTCCACTGTTATCCCTAATTCATAGATGAGGAAATGGAACTGTACTCAGGGAGCAGCAAACATTTAATATTGTGCCTCTCATTAGAGTCCCTTTTAGAAATGTCTTGCAGATATTTTAGTTTTGGAGGAAAGCTGAAACATCTACAGGGTGCTGTTTTACATTTAAAACTGATCAACAAGAAAGAACTGGATGGTAAAGTCGGGGAACTTTGAAGCTGAGGAGAAAGTGTTAGCATCTGAAAACACAGAATAGCTTAGGAAGGAAACCATAGAGGTATGCATACATATACCACAAAACACCAGAAAAGCGGGCTCAACCCATTCACAATATTAGTATTTAATACATACCAAGATACCCTTAACAAAAAAATGTTTTCATGGCATAGACCTCAAAGTCACCTAGCTGGTAAGTCTTGAGTTTAAGGTGGATATGAAGTCTATTATGTAAAAATGAGGTATATAATTTAGATAAAGATTACCCCAATCAAGCAAATTCCATTATGTAGCACTGTATTAACTTAAACTTACTCTTACTCAGAATGTTTATTTTCTAATAATAATTATTTGTAACAGGTGATAATGAAGAATTACATAATTATAAATTGCCTTCCAAAATCACCTAAGATCAAAATGTCTCTGAGTGTTGGTTTCCTTTTTTATAAAATGAGGGAATTGAACCAAATGGTGACCAGATTTAACATACTTCTGAACTTTACAGTA